CACCATTCTCTCCTTCCCCCTTGTAGGCCCTGGGCTTTGAACTCGAGTCATTAGGCATGGCAGCAAACACTTTTTTTGTGTGTTGTTTTAAATTTTTAAAAAAACTTATTGAGAATTTTATGTATGCATATAAGGTGTTTTTGATCAAATCCATGCCCACTCTCTCCCTTCCAACACCTCCCATATTTCCGTGTCACTTTTTTCAGTTAACTTCGTGTATTCTTCCTTTCCTTTCCTTTCCTTTCCTTTCCTTTCCTTTCCTTTCCTTTCTTTTCCTTTCCTTTCCTTTCTTTTCCTTTCCTTTCCTTTCTTTTCCTTTCCTTTCCTTTCTTTTCCTTTCCTTTCCTTTCTTTTCCTTTCCTTTCCTTTCTTTTCCTTTCCTTTCCTTTCTTTTCCTTTCCTTTCCCTTTCTTTCTTTCTTTCTAATGGGGATTTTTGCTACTCTAACATTATCCCTCTGAAGAGGTAACCCTAAAATCTTTTAAGTATTAGATAAGAACTCCCAAATACTTTTGTAATTTTGGGCCTTTGGAACAGAGTATGTTGCTAAGAGGCCTAAGGACATTTTAACTTTTAGCCAAGAAACTGTCTACTTTTCTTTGGGGTCTTTTTACCCTAACTGCCTAGCCAATTCCTACCTACTATTGTTCTCAGCCCCTATGTCAGAGGGAGGCTGGAACAGGCACTCTGGTGGTCTGCTGATATCTCAGCTTTATCCTACCAAATGTCAGAGGTCTGCTGTGGAGCCTTGGGAGGGGCCTCATGTAGTCCCAGTTACGGAGTTGCGTATGGCGCAATTTGGGGAAGCTCACCACCACGTGGGGGCAGGATCCAGGCTCTCTCAGGCAGCTCAGCCCCTATGTCAGAGGGAGGCTGGAACAGGCACTCTGGTGGTCTGCTGATATCTCAGCTTTATCCTACCAAATGTCAGAGGTCTGCTGTGGAGCCTTGGGAGGGGCCTCATGTAGTCCCAGTTACGGAGTTGCGTATGGCGCAATTTGGGGAAGCTCACCACCACGTGGGGGCAGGATCCAGGCTCTCTCAGGCAGCACCCTGAGTTCTCAGCCCCTATGCCAGAAGGAGGCCAGAACAGGCACTCTGGTGGTATGACAGCAAACCCTTTTCCTCACTGAACCATCTCAGCAATGATAAAGAAATTTGTCCAGAATTTGAAATCACTTCAATAATTTAATTGTTAGAGTTTCTTTGAACTTAGAGCCCAAGCAATTCAAATCTTACAATAATGATAACAATAATTTACTGAGTATGTACATTTCAAGCACTGAACTGTTACCACTGGTTTGGTCTATGCTGAGTGTTTCCAGGTTCTTGGCCTCTATTCAAGGAATTGAAATAAAGACTCACAGATTTGCAAAAATAGCAAGGTAGGGGATGGAGAGATGGCTCAGTGGTTAAGAACACTAGTTCTTGCAGAAGACCCGGGTTCGAATCCCAGCACCCACATGGCAGCTAACAACTGTCTGTAACTCCAGTCACAGGGGATCCGACAGCCTCTTCTGACTCAGGAGGCATTGCATGACACAGGTGCACTTACCTACATCCAGGCAATATACACATACACATAAAAATAATAAAATTTTTTTAAGTGAAAATATAGCAAGGTAACTTTTTTCAAAGCAGAACAAATAGGTCAGGTGTGCTGTCAAGAGTAACTATGGACTGGAGAGATGGCTTACCCATTAAAGGCTCAGGCTGACAACCTAAACATCAGGAGTTCGGGTCTCAGTATGCACAGCTGTCTCTCCTTTAGCCGGCCGTGGTGATGCACACTTTTAATCCTGCAGTGACAGGTGGATTTCTTTGAGATCAAGGCCAGCCTGATCTACAGGGAGACCTTGCCTCAAAAAAACGGCGGCGGGGGGGGTGGTGACAGACTGACTACAGACCACATGAGCGAAAATGTACTCAAGTGCTCCAGTTACTGTTTGGGGCTTCCTTTTATGGGATTCAAGAGAAAGAGGGGATTGGTTTACTAGGGGCATACTTTGGGGGATTCTCTACTTTGGTTGTCAATTTAAGTCATGTAACCATTTCTCTACAATGCATGTTACTTCCATAATGAATCTGGTTTTAATTATATATCCTTCCAATGTGCATTGGCAGAAGATGGTAAATATGAGATACTCATTTATGAACTAAAAGTTCATTTTTTAAAAATTTTTTAAAAACTTGAGAATTTCATACATGTATATAAGGTGTTTTAATCAAATCCATGCCTACTCCCTCCTCTCCAACATTCCCCCTCTGAAGAGGTAACCCTAAAATCTTTTAAGGATTAGATACAAGCTCCTAAATATTTTTGACATTTTTGGCCTTTGGAACAGAGTATGTTGCTAACAGGCCCAAGGGCATTTTGGCTTTTAGCCAAGAACCTGGCTACATTTCTTTGGGGTCTTTTTGCCCTAACTGCCTAGCCAATTCCTACCTCCTATTCTTATCATGCCATCCTCTGAAGGGGTTACCCAAATTGCCAATAGGAAATAGGGATGCAGACTGCTCTGGCTTCCTCCATGCTGAACAGGGACTCAGGGTGAGGCAACTGGGTTACCCCCTTCAGTGGGTCTATCTAAAAGACTCCCAAATTGCATAACTCAAAGTAATTAGCATTACAAGTTCTAGACAGGGAACTAGAAAAAAGTCGGAACTGCAATTTTCAAATGTTCATATGAAAGTCCATTGAAGTTTCTTGACAAGGGCTTTCAAAAGCATCCCTCTATTGGGTTCTTCCTCATTTTTCTTTTGTCTTTCAAGGCTGTACTAGTTGGCTGGGAAGAGTGGCTTGGATACTCAGGTGAGGGTCCAGTGACTGGCACTCCTTTAATGAATGAGCACAACCGTCAGCAAGCCCAATTTTGACTATGTTTAGCGGTCAGGCTCAGCCAAAGTCATGATGATGGTAGTTATTTCATGCCGAAGGGACTGCTGTATAGCATCTTCTTATTAGAAGGACCTGGAATTTAAAAGAATTTGGTGCTAGGAGCCATATGAGGGAGAACGTACGTCATTTGTTTTTCTGAGTCTGTGTTACTTTATTTAGTATAACAGTTTCTAGATCATCCATTTACCTGCAAATTTCATTATTTCATCTTTCTTTACTGCTGAATAGAACTCCATTGTGTAAATATACCACATTTTTGTTAACCAATCATCAGCTGAGGGACACTTAGGTTGCTTCCATCTCTTAGCTATTGTGAAAAGAGCAGCAACAAGCATGGTTGTACAAGTGTCTCTACAATAGGATGAGTCCTTTGGGTATATGCCAAGGAGTGGTATAACTGGGTCATATGGTAGGTTCGTTTTTAGTTTTTTAAGAGTTCTCCAAAAGTTCATTTTAGGGACATGGTTTGCTTTATTGGACATGCTTCCAAAACAAGTTTAGGCTAGGTCAGCCTTCCTATCTTCATACTCAGATATAAGTGGGGTACAATTGAATGCAATCTGTGTTTGATGGTTTTTAAGGAGAGGAGAAATTTATTCCATTGTTCCCAATGGGATGTGCATCGAGGGGTCCTACATTGCTAACAGATTGGTAGGTGTATGAGATGGGTGTATGTGCCTAGGCTATACAAGTAAGGATTTTAGACTATCAAGTGCATTACTAGAAGAGGGGTATGTGCATAGTCCAAACAAGTGGAGTCCTAGATTACTAAATTATTCCCTATGCTTACCTGCTTCAGAGCTAAAATACTTCTCAACCAGATTTGATGGTATATGCCTAAAAACCCAGTATTTAGGAAACAGAGGCAGGAGGATCTGAGCATGTTCTTGACCATCCAGGGCTATACAGTGAAACCCTATCTCAAGGGAAAAAAAAAAATCTCAAAATCTACACAGTTTACTTATGAGGAAAAGTACTGCCACTATTTTCCCTTTTGTGATACTGTGGACTGAACCTAAGGTCTCATATATGCAAGGCACGTGCTCTACTACTACATGCCCTGCACTGTATTTGGATTGTGAGACGGGATTTCACTAAGTTTCTCATGTTGTCCTTGAACTTACCTGATGTTCGGGCAGACCTTGATTTCCTCTTGACTCATCCTCTTCTAAAACTGAAATTAGAGGACTGTGCCACTGGACCCAACTACTAACATTATTTTCATTTTACTTTTTAGAGACTAAGACACATGGATTAATTTTGCCCAAAAGTTAACAAGTAATAATTGCTGGAGCCAGAATTCAGATACAGAAAAAATGTTTTGCTTTGATGTGCTTTCCTTTTAAAAGCCTTGCTTTTTGCTTTGCTCTTTTTTTTCTTTTTGAGATGGGGTCTCCCTGTAGCCCCAGCTGTCCTGGAACTCATTATGTAGACCAGGCTGGCCTTGAACTCACAGAGATCCACCTGTAGAGTCCAGAAGAGGACTTCGGATTCCCGTGGAGCTAGAGTTATAGACAGTTGTGAGCACTCAGTGTGGGTGGGTGCTGGGAACTGAACTTGGGTCCTCTACTTCAATTGTTTGCACTATTTTTTTAACATTTTTTAAAAATTCATTTTATGTCACAGAGTGTTTTGTGCACATGTGTAAGTGTTCCCATGTGTACAATGCCTATGGAGGCCAGAAGAAGGCATCAGATATGCTGGAACTGGAATTACAGATAGTTGTCAACTGCCATGTGGGTGTTGGGAACTGAACTTGGGTCCTCTGCTAGAGCAGCCCTTCTTCTTAACCACTGAACCATCTCTCCATCCCCATACCCTTTTAAGGGTAAGAAAACTAGTGTATTGCTTCATGAAGAAATCATGCAGATGAGAAAAAGTATTGGAGTATCAGTCTATACTACATAGCATTTTTCTACTATGTAAACACTAGTCTTCTCCAGTTTTTCTTTGGGGGACGAGAAATAAATATGCCCACTAATTCCACTTAATATCTTAAAGTAAAATAGGGGCGGGGGGGAATGGTAGCAATTTCTTGGGGAAGAAAAAGCCACATCAAACTCTTCATTTCCTGAAATTAATTTTCACCTTATCCTTCCAGATGTCTTCATGACCCAGTTCTCTGCCCTACAGACAGCTAGATCTGTTCGAACAAGACGGTTGGCAGCTGCAGAGGAAAACATTGAAGTGGCTCGGGCAGCACGCCTAGCCCAGATATTCAAAGAGATCTGTGATGGCATCATCTCTTACAAAGGTAAATATATCAATTACCCTTTCCTGAGACTCCCCAGACCAAGAACAAGTGACAGATTATGAGTGTAGCTTAATTTGTTCTCCCTTTTATCAGAGATTATAGAATTATGATCATTATACTTTTAAAGAATTTGAACCCAGATCCTTGTGTATGCTGAGCTAATCTTCAGTATAATTTTTGTGGATGAGTTGTAGTTTTAAAATACAAATGTGGGGGAGCTGGAGAGATGGCTCAGTGGTTAAGAGCACTGATTGTTTTTGCAGTGAACCTGGGTTCAATTCCCAGCACCCACATGGTAGTTAACAACCATCTGTAGCTCCAGTTCTAGAGGATCTGATGCCTTCTTCTGACCTCCGTGGGCATTGCACTACACGGGTGCACTTACACATATGCAGGCAATGCACGCGTATACATAAGATAAAAATAATTAATAAAATATTTTTTAAAAAAATATGAATGTGGCCGGGCATCGTGGTGCACGCCTTTAATCACAGCACTTGGGAGGCAGAGGCAGGTGATCTCTGTGAGGTCAAGGCCAGCCTGGTCTACATAGCAAATCCAGGCCAGCTGGGGCTACAGGGAGACCCTGTCTCAAAAAGACCCAAAAAAAAAACGAATGTGGGGCTGAAGAGATTGCTCAGTGGCTGAACACTGGCTGCTCTTGCAGAGGACTCGTTAGATTCCCAGCAAGCACATGGTGACTAACAGCTGTTCGCAACTCTAGTTCCAGGGGATCTGACAATCTCTTCTGGCATTGTAAGACATGGGTGCACCCACATACACACAGGCAAAACACTCAAACACATAAAACAAATATAAGTAAATAACAATTTTTTTAATTATGTATGTATTCTGGAGATGTAGCCCAGGGGATCCATCCATAACAGCAGATAAGTCTAGGCATAGTGACACACCTATAATCACAGTACTGTGCTTAAACTATCAGTTCAAGGTCAGTCATCCTAGTTTGAGGCCACATACTGCCTTGTCTTCTCAGGCCTTTGTTCCCATCACTCCACTCAGGAAGCAGAGGCAGTCAGAACTTTGTGAGTTTGAGGCCAACTTTGTCTACATAGTGAGTTCCAGGCCAGCTAAGTGCTACATAGTTGAGACTTTGTCTCAAAAAAAAAAGACAAAAAAAAAAGGTAACTAAAAATTGGGGGATTGTGGCAAGCCTGGTGGTATATATACACCGGAGACAGAGGCAGGTGGCTCTTTGTGTGATCAGGGCCAACCTGGTCTACATAGCAGTTTCATGCCAGCTGGGGCTATAGGGAGACCCTGTCTCAAAAAACAGCCCCCTCTCCCCCCAAAAAAAATTGCTGGATGTTTAAAATGAGACTTTTGGTCCTGCAAGATGACTCAACTGGTAAAGGCACTTGCTTCCAAGACTGACAACCTGAGCTCGATTCCCCAGGACTCACATGATAGAAAGAGAGAACTGATTCCTATAAATTGTCCTTTGACTTCCACATAGGCACCATGGCACACATGTACCCACACATATACACACAAAATAAATAAATGTATAATAAAAATAAATAACAGATTTTGACAACTAATTGTGACATTTTATGATTAGCTTTGGTTTCTTTATCTTCTATCTCTAAATTCTAAGGAATTTAATTCTTTTTCTTTTGTCTACTATTTATCTTTGGTATTTTGTTGACTTTTTGCATAGAAAAGAGGGAACTGGGCTGATTGTGGAGCTCAGTGGCAAGGCCCTGAGTTCTGTCCCAGCACTACCAAAAATACAATAGAGGGAACCAGGTTGTCCTGAGACGTAAAGTTTTATGGCACCTATTTATATTTCCAAAACTTTACATTTTTCATTCTCACAAAGCCTTGTCTGTTCTAACGGCATTCTGTGCAGCATTATCTCTCTATTGACACTGACAGAAGATAAGGTAGCAAATGGGAATCTCTCAGCAAGAATTCTATTTATTCCATACAGAATAACTGTTTTAGGAAAATAAGTTCTAAGAAAATACTTAAGAAATTATTCTTTATCTGTTATTTAATGACATTTAGACCAACAGTAATAACAATTATGGAGATTTAAGAGACACTCGAGCAAGGCACGGTGGCATACAATTTTAATCCCAGCACTCAGGGAGACAGAGGCAGGTGGATCTCTGTGAGTTCGAAGCTAGCCTGGTCTACATAGTGAGTTCCAGGCCAGTTGGGGCTACAGGGAGACCCTGTCTCAAAAAGATCAAAAGAGGTGGATGGGGAGGGGGGACTGGAAAACAGTTTTTAGATAAGGTGATATATTTGCTGTCATTCTGAGCCAGGCATAGTGATGTGCACCTTCAGTCCCAGCACTGAAGAGTCAGAGGCAGACAGATCTCTGTGAGATGGAGGCCAACTTGTTCTAGATACTTCCAGGTCAGCCAAGGCTCCAGGGAGACCCTGTCTCAAAATACAAATAAGCAAACAAAAAAGATTTATCACTCTGTAATTTCAGCATGTGAGAGGTGGATACAAGAGGATTAGAAGCTCAGGGTCTTGCATGTAAGCAGGAGCAGGAATTTACAGTAGTTATGTTTTACATTACTCATCGGAAATTACTACCCAACTATCATTGTAGTCTCAAATATATACACTATATCTTTCGTATCCTGCTTGATTTTTTTATTTGATCAAATATTGTATTGTTTGGGGACTGGAGAAATGGCTCAGCAGTTGATAGCACTGGCTGCTCTTGCAGAGGACCCGGGTTCAATACCCAATACCCACATGGTGGCTGACAACTGGCTATAACTCCAGTTCCAGGGTAAATCCCGATGCTCTCTTCTGACCTTCACGGGCATTGCATGACAGGGTTGCACTTACACACAGGCAGGCAATACACTCATATACATAAAATAAAGATAATAAAATTTTTAAAAATTGTATTGTTTGATATCTGTGAGACAAAAGATTAGATTATTTGTTGTTGTTTGTTTGTTTTGTTTTTTTGAGGAAAGGTCTTCCTGTAGCCACAGCTGGCCCTGAAACTCATTCTGTAGATCAGGCTGGTCTCCATCTCAAAGATCACCTGCCTCTGCTTCCTAAATGCTGGAATTAAAGGCATATACCACCAAAAAAGTAGATTTTTAACAAGGAGAACCATACTTTAACCCTACTTTTCAGCTAAAGATAATGTTTGCAGGCTGGGAGTGTTACTTAGTGAAAAAGCACTTAGCATGTGCAAGGCAAAGTTCACCAGCACTCCTTAAAAAGAAAAAATATTTTGAGATAATGTATAGTACTATCATACCTGAACAAGAAAAATAAATTTTAGTTAAATAATACAAGCCAGGTAAACTAGTGGGTGCCCATAATTCCAGCTACTCATGGAGCTGATTAGAAGGATGACTTTAGCCCATGAATTTAAGATCAGTCTGAGCAGTGTAGCAGGCACTCTATCTTAAATGTAAAACAACAAAGAAGGAGGTAGTATTTGCCCTTCTCTTTTAGAGTCTGTATACTAAACCGTGCATTCTTTTTCAGATTCTTCCCGGCAAGCACTTGCAGCTCCACTTTTGAATCTACCCCCCAAAAAAAAGTAGGTGCACATTTGTGATAATTGTCCAAGATTTAGAAAAGAACTAAGTGGAAAAAAAAGAAAATAATTAACTGTATTAGATTGACACCCTGGCTTTGTGTTTCAGGAATGCTGATTATTATGAGAAGATCTCTGATCCCTTAGATCTCATCACCATAGAAAAGCAGATCCTCATTGGTTATTATAAGACAGTGGAAGCTTTTGATGCAGATATGCTCAAGGTCTTTCGGAATGCTGAGGTATTTTTCACCTACTTCAAACCCATATTTTAAAAAGTTTGGTCTGCTGGGTGTGGTGGTGCACGCCTTTAGTCCCAGCACTCTGAAGGTAGAGGCAGGTGGATCTCTAAGTTCAAAGCCAGCCTGGTCTACATAGTGAATTCCAGGCCAGGTGGGGCTACAGAGAGACCCTGTCTCAAAAAGACAAAAAAAAGAAAAAAATGGTCTGAGCTGGGTGTTGTGAGCCACCATGAGGTAGTAAGGAACCAATCCCCATTCCTCTGAAAGAGCAAAAAATGCTCTAAACCACTGAGCCATTACCTCTCCAGTCCCAATAATAACAATTTCTTGAATTAAAAAACATTAAATTAGTTCCATCAGTAGAAGTGCTTATTGTGCAAATATGAAAACATGAATTCAATCCTAAAAATGCCAAGTGTGATGCTGTGTTCTTATAATTCCAGCTCTGAGGAGGCACAGAGACAGGAGTATCCCTTGTGCTCATTGTCTAGCCAGTCCAACCTACCTGGTAAAGGATTCCTGAGGATGACACCCAAAGTTATCCTGTGGCCTCTACACACATGCAAACATGTGAGCACATACCCTCACATGCACCTATGTGAAAGATACATATTCTAAGGCTAGGGATCACCCAGTCAGTAAAAGTGTTCAAGCGTGAGGACTGACCTGAGTTTTATGCCCCAAAGCCCATGTAAAATGCCAGCCATGATGGTGTACACTTGTAATTCCAGTTCTGGAGAGGTAGAGACAGACAAATCTCTGGAGCTCAGTGGCCAACCACTTTGTGAACAAATTGAAAAAGGAAAAAAAAAAAACAAGGTAAGCTGGGCCTGGTAGTGTATACCTCTAGTCCCAGCACTCAAGCGGCAGAAGCAGGTGAATTACTGTGAGATCGAGACCAACCTGGGATGGTCTGTGTTAAACAGTTCCAGTCCAGCTGCAACTACAAAGTGAGACTCTGTCTCAAAAAACCAAACTGCCAGAAAAGCAGAGGGCATTGGGGCTTGAGTTCTGTCCTGTACACATGTGACACCCAAATATACGTGTGCACTTGCACAAACACACACACAGGAAATTCTAGAATGGATTTTCTCAAAAAAAAGAAGAAAAAATAGAATCTTTGTAAAAATCCTAATTTTGCCATGAACTTTTACACCATATAGACATTTTTCTGGTTTAATATCTGTCATCTTTGTTTATGAAAATAAGTATATATGAAGCCAGGAATAGTGGCTCAGCTCTTGAAAGGCTGAGGCAGGAGGATCATCTCAAGTTCCAACCCTGGCTGAACTACATAGTAAAACCCTGTCTCAAAACAAAAACAGGGGCTAAAGAGATGGCTCAGAGGTTAAGAGCACTGGCTGCTCTTACAAAAGACCCAGGTTCGAATCCCAGCACTCACATGTTGCTAACAACTGTCTGTAACTCCAGTTCCAGGGACTTGAATTATAACATGCTTTCTATTCAAACCTTGCTTCCATAGTTATAATGCTGTCTTGTTACCTACATAGGCACTGTATAACACAGGTACACTTATATACATGCAGGCAGTACACTCATACACATAAAATTAAAAAAATAATGAAATATTACAAAATAAAAAGCACCTAGAGCACAAAATGAAATATATAGAACATAGAAAACATAAATTATCCAGTGATTTTTGAACTACCATGGAGAAGTATTTGGAGAATAGAACAGGCTACTAAGGATCCATAAAGGTTGGCAGATAACATGAGAAAAATAAACAACTAAGAGGATAATTAGAGTAATCTTGAATTATAACATGCTTTCTAGTCAAACCTTGCTTCCATAGTTCCAGGTATCTGTCAGAGAAAGGAACATGGAAGAATTCTACAATACGTTGTGCTTAAAACATTAATTAAAATTCATTATTACTGAACGTGATGGCATATGCCCTTAATCCCAGCATTTGGGAGGCAAAGGCAGATAGACCTCTATGAGTTAAATGCCAGGCTAGTGTCCATAGTCAGTTCCAGGCCAGCCAGTACTACATAGTCACACCCTGTCGCCCCCCAATTGTTTTCATTAGCACTGTATATTTAATTTTATGGATAATGAGACTCTTGACAGGAATTGAATAATAAAGCAATACAAGTGAAAAAATACCATACAGATTCTAATTTTAATTCACTATAGTTCAATTTGTTAATGACTGCTTGTCACTACATTTGCAGGTATATTTTTAAACCAAAATGAGAAGACCAAACACGATTTCTTTCTTCTGTTTTCTTCAGAAGTACTATGGGCGTAAATCCCCAATTGGTAGAGATGTTTGCCGCTTGCGGAAGGCCTATTACAGTGCCCGGCATGAGGCATCAGCCCAAATTGATGAGATTGTGGGTGAAACAGCAAGTGAAGCAGACAGCAGTGAGACCTCTGTCTCTGAGAAAGAGAATGGGCATGAGAAGGACGATGATGTTATCCGCTGTATCTGTGGCCTCTACAAGGATGAAGGCCTCATGATCCAGTGTGACAAGTGCATGGTGAGTGTTTGGTGGCGAAGTTCCCATTCCTCCTTGGGCATAACATGGCAGGCTTTTTATGAACTAGAATTTAGCCCTCCTTTTGGTTATCCTTCATCATATCTCTTTCTCCTTTTTAAAACCACTGAGCCATCTCTCCAGTCCCTCTATTCCCCATTCTTTCTGCCCTCTTTCCACTATACATGTCTCACAAAATGAGTATAAAGCCTTTCATAAATGCTACAGCATAAATATATATCATTTAGCAAGTAATGGTTTGGTTGTATATTCATTTTTTCTTAACTCTATTCATCTCACCATTTTAATTTTTTGCATTTATTTTGTGTGTATGAGTGCATTGCCTATGTGTATATAAATGCACTCATGTCTTGCAATGCCTGAGGAGGATAGACTAGGGCGTCAGATTGTCTGGAACTGGAGTTACAGATGGTTGTTAGCTGCTGTGTGGGTGCTGGGATTCAAACCTGGGTCTTCTGCAAAAACAGCCAGTGCTCTTAACCACTGAGCCATCTCTTCAGCCCCCGACAAATTGATTTTGATATATAGATCTGGACGAATAACATGGGGAGATGAGGGGCTGGAGAGATGATTCGGCAATTAAGAACACTGGCAGGCTTATAACCACTGAGGTTCACTTCCCAGCACCCACATGATGGCTAACAGTGTATAGCAGGTTACACTCAAATATAAGGCAAAAATACTCTTTAAAATCAGTTTTTCAGCTGGACGTGGTGGCACATGCCTTTAATCCCAGCACTTGGGAGGCAGAGGCAGGTGGATCCCTGTGAGTTCAAGGCCAGCCTGGTCTACATAGTGGGTTCCAGGCCAGCTGGGGCTACGGGGAGACCCTGTCTCAAAAAGACCAAAAAAAAAAAAAAAAATCAGTTTGTCTATTTTTATTCAGGCATTGTTTTTTCCTCATATTTAACCATTTATCTCTGTCACCTACTTAGGCTTAATTCTGTTTTACTTCACCTTATTCTATTGAATTATTATTATTTCTCAGAAATTTCCTCAATAAATCTTAAGTCCCTTTGTTAATTGAACCTTTTTCTTTAGGTGTGGCAGCACTGTGACTGTATGGGAGTAAACTCAGATGTGGAACACTACCTTTGTGAGCAGTGTGACCCACGGCCTGTGGACAGGGTAAGCTGCCCTCTGGCTTATAATTAGGAATGTTATACATGTTCCTGCTGTGCAAAATTGCTCAGCTTCTCTATGCCTCAGCTTCACACTGTGAGCTATTTGAGACAGGTTTCACTGTATATCTCTGACTGTCCCAGAACCATCTATGTAGACCAAGCTGGCCTAGAATTAGAGACCCGCCAGCCTTTGCCTCCCAAGTGCTGAGATTAAAAGTGTGTGCCACAATACCCAGTTGAAGGTAATTATTTTTGCCCTTCTTTTTTTCTGCATTAGGGAGGCAGAGACAGGTAGATCTCTGTAAGAAGTCATCCTTTTCTACACAGCAAGTTCCAGGCCAGCTGGAGCTACAGGGAGACCTTGTCTAAAAAGACAAATAAATAAATGAAAAAAGAAAAGAAAGAAAATAAAATACTTGGAACTATAGGAAAAGTGGTACTATATAAAACTAAGGTTCTTTTTTAGTCTGGGTCTCACTATATAACCCAGGTCAGGGTCAGCTTGTTACATCCTCCCAGTGTCTGTACAGACTTACAGAGTTCAGAAGTTGACACTATACCATTTGTTAGGTAGTGTTTGGGTGAAAACCACTCTTGACTCAGAGTTATTTACTGGCATGAGGGTCAGTGACTTACCCAAGTTGGATGGGTTCTTACCTTGGCACTGCCATGTTCGTATGTATGATCCTGGGTTGGCAAGCTGGCTCACTGAGTAACAGCGGTTCCTGCCAAGCCTGACAGCATGACCCAAATTATAGAGAGAGAGAACCAACTACTGCAAATTGTCCTCTGACCTTCACACGGCAAGCTAGCTTGCGCACGCACGCACACATGCACATACACACACACACACACACACACACGAGTCAATCAATGAATGAGTCAATGTGTATGTATTATCTTGGATAAGTCACTTCCGTAAACGGGGATTTAGGCAGCATTTCTTAACAATGGTCTTGCTGTAAACCATTGTAAGGGATACATTTTAAATGTTCAGCTTCCCTGACCCTTGAATACTAAATATCTGTAAGTAATCTTCACTGCTATCACAAAGTCTCCATTGTGGGGTTTCTCAGAGCAACTTCATAAAACCTTGTCCAAGGTATTTAGCCTTTCAGTTTTATCATTCACCTTCATTTTTAGGTTTCGTGACTAACGGTTTCCATCTTTCTCACATTTTTAGTGTATTGAAATAACTTTTAAGTCTTGAATGGGAATTTTAGGGGGTTTTGTGGTTTGGTTTGGTTTGGTTTGGGGTTTTGTTACTGTTTTGGTTTTTGTTTGGTTTTGTTATTTTTCTTTTCTTTTGATTTGGATTTTGGCTTTTTTGTTTTTTGTGTGTTTTTTTGAGATAAGGTCTCCCTATAAAGCTCTGGTTGGTTTGGAACTTGATTTGTAGACCAGGATGGCTTTGAAGATCACAGAGATCTGCCTGCCTCTGCCTCCTAAGTTTTGACATTAAAGACGTGCTATCACACCCAACTAAATTTTGGGTTTTAATTCTTCTCTTCAGTAGACATCATTAGGCCAAATGTAATAATTCTAGCCTTTGTCCATTGGCTTTTTGTTCTCATCAGGAGGTACCCATGATCCCACGGCCCCACTATGCCCAACCTGGCTGTGTCTACTTCATCTGTTTGCTCCGAGATGACTTGCTGCTTCGTCAGGGTGCGTACATAGGCATTAACCCACTGATCTTTCTGAATAGTAGGAAGTATTTGCTTCATATAACAGTTACTGTCCCATAAAGCCTTGAAGAGAGGGGTTTTTTGTTGTTGTTTTTTTGTTTCCATATAGCTCCAGCTGGCGTGGATCTCACTGTGTATATCAGGCTGGCCTCCCCAGTGCTGGGATTAAAGGCATGCACCACCATACCCGGCCTTTCCTCTACCATATATACTGATTTACAGAGACAGAGGTTTACAAAGCTTAAGTTTTTTTTCTTTTTATATTTCAGACATATATAATACACTTTGATTATAATATCCCCATTATCCTTTCTTCCCACCTTTATCCTCCCACCAACCCCTTTCTTCCTAGTTATGTCCCTTCTACTTTTATGTTTATATAGGGATGGGTATCAACTGCATTTAATTGGGGTTGCCTACATGACCATGGGTTGGGGGGTTATTTACTTGAGCAAGGGAAATTTACCAGTAGCCACACTGCTGAGGAATGTGACTTCCTCTTTACCTAACAACCATCATAAGGTGGGGCCTTATGAATCTCTTCCCCTTGGTTTGGTTGTTTCTGTTAAGTTAATTGGTAGTGGTAGTATTTGGGGTTTTTTTGTTGTTTTTGTTTGGTTTTGTTTTATTGTTTTTTCAGACTGTAGCCCAATCCAGGCCTCAAGCTCATGGTAGTCCTTCTGCCTCTGCCTCTCAAGTGCTGGGATTACAAGCATTAGTTACTATGCCTGGCTTATACTAATTTTATTTGTTTTTTTGCTGTGCTAGTGAATGACCCTAGGCCTCAAGCACACTAGGAAGGTCTACCTACTGAGTTTAAACCTAGGAAAGAGACACAGGAAATCCAAAAGATGAAAAACATCCTTCATGTAATGCTCACAGTTTGGAATTTATAATAGTCATCATTAGGCTGCTAGCTTTAGCTTTATGTTTTTTGTTTTGTTTTTTTGTTTGTGTCTTTTTGAGACAGGGTCTCCCTGTAGCCCCAGCTGGCCTGGAACCTCACTATGTAGACCAGGCTGGCCTTGAACTCACAGAGATCCACCTACTTCTACCACCTGAGTGCTGGGTTTAAAGGGGTGCGCCATCACACCCAACCTAGCTTTATGTTCTTATATTTTATATATTTTATAGTGTGTTTTGGTTGTAGTACTAGGAATAGAACCCAGAACCTTGCTCATGGTAGGCAAGCATTCAGCCACTGAGCCATCTGCCTGCCTGGCCTTTTCTATTATGAGTTCTTTCTTTATAGACCATGGGTCAGGTAAATGGATGCCTTACAGAATTCATACAAGAATCATTGTAACTTTCTCCTTTGTCCTGTGCCTCCCTAGGTGATTGTGTGTATTTGATGAGGGATAGTCGGCGTACCCCTGATGGCCACCCAGTCCGTCAGTCCTATAGGCTGTTATCTCATACTAACCGAGATAAGCTTGACATCTTTCGAATTGAGAAGCTTTGGAAGAATGAAAAGTATGTGCTGGGGTCTTACCTCTTTCTTACAGCTGTGTCCTACCCAGAGGCAAATATTCCAATTTGCTGATAAACTTAACCTCTCCCTTTCTCATATATTTTTTTTGAAGAGAAGAACGGTTTGCCTTTGGTCACCATTATTTCCGTCCCCATGAAACCCATCATTCTCCATCCCGCCGGTTCTATCACAATGAACTATTTCGGGTGCCACTTTATGAGATCATTCCCTTGGAGGCTGTAGTTGGAACCTGCTGTGTGTTGGACCTTTATACATATTGTAAAGGTAAATGATGAAGTCTTGTTTAGAAATGATCTCATATTTAATTGATCTGCAGTTACGTAACCTGTTCTTTGTTGGTGTTTTATGTTGCTGGTAAACTGAACCCAGGGCCTTGTAAGTGCTAAGCAAGCACTCTACTATTGAGCTATATAATAGTTCCAATCCTTGCCCACCCCAATTCTGAAGTCTCTGTGTATTGAAAGAGTCTCTAGTACTAACTGTGAAGCAACAGAGAGAAGTGTTACAATTTTTTTTATTTGTTTTTGTTTTTTATTGAGAAAGGGTCTCACTATGTAGCTCTGGCTTGCATAGAACTCACTATATAGAGCCAAGCTGGACTCAAAACTCATAGAGATCTGCCAGCCTCTGCCTCTTCAGCATGCAATAACACCATACTGTATGCTAATTTCAAAATCTAGCTCCAACACAGTTTATGTGCCACTGAGAAAAAGATAATAAGCCTCAGTATCAGTTCCCTTACCCTGAATCCAGATTAGTATTTATTTTACAGGTTTGTAAAGATCAAATAATCTACAAAACCAACAGTTTAGTTATCTATGTCCAGGCCTTTAATCCTGTACTCAGGAAGCAGACGCAGGCCAGCTGGAGCTACAGAGAGACCCTATTGGAAAAAACAAATCAAAAAAGAAAAAAAAAAAAAAAAGGAAGAAAACCAAGAGTTTAGTTATGTAGATTTTTATCTCAGTATCTTAAGAAAAAAATTCAAAATAATAAACATTCCATTCAGGGGCTGGAGAGATGGCTCAGTGGTTAAGAGCACTGACTGCTCTTACAGAGGACCTGGGTTTGATTCCCAGCACCCACATGGCAGCTACGAACCGTCCTTAACTCCAGTTCCAGGGGAATCCGAAGTCCTCTTCTGACCTCCACAGTAGCATTGCACGACACAGGTACATTCACATATATGCAGGCAGTATACTCATACACATAAAAATAATAAATAAAATATTAAAAAATAAAAATATTCCATTCTGTACCCACACGCTGCTTGCTGCTCTTAGACCCTGACTCTTCCTTCTCCAATTAAAAAAGAAAGTTTGCACTTTCACATCTATTTACCTTATATTTATGTGTCTTTCTTTTCTTTTTAATATTTTAATTTTATGTGTATGTGTGTATTGCCTGCTTGTAGGTAAGTGCACCCGTGTTGTGCAGTGCCCGTGGAGGACAGAAGAGGCCATCGGATCCCCTAGAACTGGAGCTACAGACAGTTGTTAGCTGTCATGTGGGTCCTGGTATTCAAAACTGGGTCTTCTGCAAGAACAGTCAGTGTTCTTAACCACTGAGCAATCTCTCCAGCCCCCGTCTCTTTTCTAATAATTCCCCCATGAACCATTCTGTCCCACAGAATGTCTACTCAAAAATTCCTGAGCATTTAATCTGTATTTCGGGGGGGGGGGGTCCATCCTATTATTCCATTACATTATTATATTCCATCTCCTTTTTGGGACACTGGTGTTTAAGAACTCTCCTTTCAGGACTGAAGAGATGGCTCAGCAGTTAAGAGCAATTTTTGCTCTTCCAGAGGACCTGGGTTTGGTTCTCATCACTCAGAGTGGCCCATAACCACTTGTGACTCCAGTTTCAGGGGATCTGATATCCTCTTCTGACCTCCACAGGCATGTGGTGCACTTACATCATGCAGGCAAAACACTCATACACATAAAATATACTTTTAGAAAAAGAACTCTCCTTTCATCTGCAGCCATCAAAATGCTTGGTTGCTCAGCCTTTCCAAATAGCTTCAGTGTTTTCTCCTTATGGGCCTAGCTTTTCTCTCAAAGATGGAAGTTGTTTTCTGGGCAGCTACCAGAGACAAAGGGAAATCAGATTTCTTTCTTTTTTTCACTTTTAGATTTATTTTATTTTTAATTATGTGTCTGTATGTGGGTATGTTTACATGAGTACAGATATCCTCAGAGGCCAGAAAAGTATGTTGGATCCCCTGGAACTGAATACAGGTGGTTGTGAGCTACCTGTCATGGGTGCTGGGAACCAAACTCTGGTCATCTGTAAGAGCAGCACATGATGTTAACCACTGAGCCATCTGATTTCAGGAAATCAGATTTTTTAACAGTGTTTGGATTTACAGGGAGACCCAAAGGAGTGAAGGAACAAGATGTATACATCTGTGATTATCGGCTTGACAAGTCAGCACACTTATTTTACAAGATACACCGGAACCGCTATCCTGTCTGCACTAAACCCTATGCCTTTGATCATTTCCCCAAGAAGCTTACTCCCAAAAGAGATTTCTCAGTAAGTCACCATTTTTTTGTTTGTTTTTGGTCTTTGACAGGGTCTCCCTATAGCCCCAGCCAGCATGAAACTCACTATGTAGACCAAGCTGACCTCACAGAGATCCACCTGCCTCTGCCTCCCAAGTGCTGGGATCACCTTAATTTGTTTGTTTGTTTCAGACAGGATCTCACCTGTTAAGGCTCAGCTACCCTTGAACTTTTTTGAGCCTCTTGATTCTGTCTCCTAAGTGCCAACTATGCCTAACTATGCCTTTTTTTTTTTCTCTTTCTCTTTCCTTCTTTTCTTTATTGTGTGTAGTGTATGCACATGTATGTAAAACTGCACATGAGGAGACCAGAGAAGGATGTTGGCTCTCCCATTTCTATCACTCTCCACTTTATTCCCTTGAGACAGGGTCTCTCACTGAACCTGGAGCTAAGCTGGCAGCCAACAAACTCTTCTTGTCTCTGCCCTACTTCCAGCACTGAGCCATGCCTGTTTTTTTAATGTGGGCACTGTGAATTTCAACCCAAGTCTTCATGCATAAAAGTACCATTACCTTCTAAGCCATCTCCTATGCCTTCCTTTTTTTCACCTTTATAATTTTAAGCATGTACAAACGTTACCCTGAAAAACCTTTTCTTTTTCTTAGGTTCTTGTGACAAAGTTTGCTCCAGGTTTGCCTTGAAGTCACTGTGTAGCTCAGGCTTGAATTCTCAGCAGTCTTCCTTCTTCCTGCTATAGCCTCCTAGTGCTAGGGTTATAGGAATGTGCCTTTTTAAAAAAAAGTTCTTGTTATGTAGCCCTGAGTGGCCTGGAGCTCACCATCTAGACCAGGGTGACTTGGAACTCACAGAGGTTTACCTGCTTCTGCCTTCTGAGTGCTGGGATTACAGTCATGTACCACCACACCTGGCTACCATTTTTCCTGGCTCTAAAATCCTTTGATTTTTTTTTTTTTAATTCTTTTTTATGCCTAGATCAAAAATGTAAGACATAGCCAGGTGTGGTACACCTTCAATCTCAGCACTCAGGAGGCAGAGGCAGGCAGATCATTGAGAGTTGGAGACCAGCCTGGTCTACATAGTGTGTTCCAGGCCAGCTAGAGCTATATTGTGAGTCATTGTCTCAAAAACCAAAAAAAATGGGACTGGAGAGATGGCTCAGAGGTTAAGAGAGCACTAGCTGCTCTTGCAGATGACCTGGGTTCAGTTCCCAGCACTGACATGGCAGTGAACTACAGTTCTAGGGAATCCAACTCACTCTTCTAGTCTCCATGAGCATTGCACATATGTTGGCAGTACACTTACATGCATGCAGATGAAACACTCATAGATAAAATAAAAATAATTTTTAAATGTAATTTTAAAAATGTAGTTTGATGGTATATCATTTACCCATTGTTAATATTTTCATTTTGAGACTATTTCCTGTGTAGTTGTTTTGTTTTGTTTTGTTTTGTTTCTAATTGTTAAGACCACAGACCAGTGGTTTTCCATCATTACTACCTAAGATTTTGGTCATCGATATATGTCTTTTATAAAACCCCAGTGGACAGGCTCCTCATCTTTGTATTTTCCTTTAAAGTGAGAGTGCATGTCAGTGTTCTGTCACTGTGTCAGAATACCTGAGAATAAGCTACTTAAAAGGAGGAAAGATTTGCATTGGCTTACAGATTGAGATTTTAGTCCATGGTCCTTTAGAGCAGTTGTTTTGGGCCTGAGATAGCACAGTACATCATGGCAAGAGCATGTGGCAAAGGCTGTTCACCCCATGGCAACAAAAAAGTGAAACAAGAAAGGAAGATGTCAACACCTCAATAACATAACTGCCAACCAATCAATCCGTGATGAAGTCACCCAAATACCTCCCTTAGCCTGAGTGGCCCCAGTCAGATCTAGCATTAATATGCTTACCTCTCCCCTCCTCCCTTTTTTTTTCTGCAGCCTCATTATGTCCCAGACAACTACAAGAGGAACGGAGGGCGGTGAGTTCTAGCAGAATGTGAGGGCTTCTAAGGGGTTGGCCAAGAACTTGAAGAGAGCAGGAAAGCAAGTAGCTCCATATTGGGCTCTACTGCTGGGACTGCACTTACTGTACAGAAACCAGCATAATGCCAACACTAATATGGGTGAAGAGATACACTCAGGATGAACTGTTTGAGCTTATAGTTTAAATTTCTGCTTGTTTGGCACATGAGAAGGGTCTTCCTTATAGAAGACTTTTCTATTATCTGTCAAGGAGGCACATAAATGACCACTGCTTTCTCCATCCCAATAACCTATGATAAGTGAGGAAATATTAGATAAGGGATATAGAAAAGAGATCCAGGAAAAGTAAAGCCCACTTAAATATTATTGCAGTCAGATATGGGTATCATAAGCCCTGCTGCTTTTGTATTTATGAGGCAATCACAGCTAAGTAAGCAGCCTGACCAGGCCCAGTATAATTCATGGATTTCTATCTCATTGTTGCTTCAGGTTCCTGAGAAGAAGGAAGGTTTAACTTTAGAAATAGAAATTAAATTACTTTATAATTGATAGAATGCTAACCTAGCATGTTATAAGCACTGTCAGAATTTTTTTTTAAAAAAAGGAAAATTAAATTTTAGAGAAAACTAATAGTTTGTACAAATACTAATAATGTGAATGTGAAGGCTGTATTCAGGTTTCTTAACTCAAGCTAAGGCTCTGATAAGTAGACTCCATGATACCAAGTCATTTCCCTATCAAGTCATTTGCCTTGGCCTAAATTTACATACCCTTTTGGCAGATCATCCTGGAAGTCTGAACGCTCAAAGCCACCCCTAAAAGATCTAGGGCAAGAAGATGATGCTTTGCCCTTGATTGAAGAGGTACTAGCCAATCAGGAACAAGCAGCCAATGAAATTCACAGTCTTGAGGAGCCAGAACAGGAGAGGACCACTGCTGAAGTCAGTGAGGGTGAAAAAAAAACAGAGGAAAGTAGTCAAGAACCCCAGTTAACCTGCACACCTGAAGAACGAAGGCATAACCAGCGGGAGCGACTCAACCAGATCTTGCTCAATCTCCTTGAGAAAATCCCTGGAAAAAATGGTAAGAATCAGGCTCATATTTAGGGTTGAAGACAAGTGAGTGAAGAGGAAGCAAAAAAGCAGGGGGTGGGGAGTGAGTGTGTGTGTGTGTGTGTGTGTGTGTGTTATACTGGAAATCAAACCTAGTGCCTCAGATGTGCTAGGCAAGCACTTTCCCACTAAGTTGTAGCTCCATCCAAAACAATTTCTAATTACTGGGCCAACGTGGAAAGTGTTCCAAGAAAATGGTACATTCTTTCACAGACTACCTTTTGTTACATATTCAAAGTAAAACTGTGGAAGGCTAGATGATTTCTTTCCATAGAGAATCACCTTTGGGAGACTAGATATGTAACTTAAATTTTTTTTTATTTTATTTATTTATTTTTATTTTATGTGTATGCGTGTATTGCCTGCGTATAGGTAAGTGCGATCGTGTCTCCCTTAGGGCTGGAGAATAGCCTAAATTGCTTTAGGTCAGAAAAGAAATCATTGAATTCCTGAGTTAAATTCCAGAATAAGATGTGGGAGAGTGGTATTTGATGAGCCTCTTTGGTTCTATTTTCAGCCATTGATGTGACCTACTTGCTGGAAGAAGGATCAGGCAGGAAACTGCGAAGGCGTACTTTGTTTATTCCAGAAAACAGCTTTCGGAAGTGATCTTCAAAAAAATGAGAACTTCAAGCATCTGGGATCCAGTGGAACTCACCAGTCCTGTTTCCTGCTCTGTGGGTGTGGACAGGGGTGGGAAAGGTCCCTCCAGACAAGGAGAGTGGGGTCAACTCTTTGACATTAGGTACTTACTAAAGCTTGGAGCTAGTGGAGAGGGTGGGGAAGTGGATCTGACTGAGACAGCTGAGTTTAATTTTCCTCTTCATTGCTTTACCCTAAGGGTTAATGTAGCGAAGAGGAAGGACCACATTAAGAATAACCAGAAGCTATTGGTACTTTTCAGCACTTAACTCTCTCCACAGCTTGGGTTTTTCTGGGTCACCCTCTGACCCCACAGGCACTAAGAAGCTGTTTCCCATACCCAGGTAGAAATTCAAAATCCAAAGGAAAGGGCTGGGATCCCAGTCCTACCCCATCCATTCACTTTTGGCTCTAAGAGCTACCCCGAGAGACCTAAAGCAGTTACAGTAGCTGAGGCCTCTTCTAAGATCTTTGACTAGGAAAGTTTCTCCCTCCTTTCTTACCCGACCAGGTCAAAGTGAAACATGAATTGACAACTCAAAGCACTTAGAACTGCTGCCACTCTCCTATCTCTACTCCCTAAAATGGAATCGTGGGATAGAGGAGGCCCCCATGGGGTCAGAAGGGCAGTACTTTTAATGATTTTTGTTTTACCCTTCATAACCTGCCGAGCATACTTTTTTCTGATGAGAAAGCCAAGCCCCCGCCAGCACAATGCTGTTTTTGATGCGCTGTGGTTCTTGTATATCTGCTGTGCTGTGCAAATGAAGATACATTTCAAAAAGTTTCATTTTTAAAACTACATAAAAACTCTATAAACTCCCCCAACAAAACTCACTACATAAACTGTTCAGCAGTATTCACCTATCAGAGTATTTGTTGTAAGTGTAGATTATCAATTGAAAACACTACTCTTATTTTCCTAATTGTATAGCTCTCAGTGTCCATCTCTTCAAGAGACAGTGTTCTTTTTACCCTTAGTCCCATCTTCTTTTACCTTCCTGAATGACTTCATCATTGGGAGGTATATCCAGGGTCTCCTTCCCTCCCAGTCACTTGACCAGAAGTTACGAGACTATACTATCTCTTTAAAAGAAAACTCAAAAAGCTTTGCTTTATCTTCTCAGACATACATATGCATATACATTTTAGATGTTCTTATAAGAGAAAAGATGATTTTTAAATGTGCCAAGTTATATGTGTGTATATATATGTGTGTGTGTGTATATATGTGTGTGTGTGTGTATATATATATATATATATGTGTGTATATATATACATATATATATATGTATGTATGCTGTGTGATTGGTAAGCAATACACTAGTAAACATGTCCCCATTACTTTTTTCTAATATTGGACCAATGATGTCCTAATTGTATATTTCCTTCCCCTTATGATGATGACGCTCTGACTCGTTTAGGTAGAAACATTGACCACCTTCCATTCCATTGATTTTTTTTTTTTTCCTTCTCCTTTCTGTGTCATTCTTAAGGAAAAACAAAAAAACAAAAAAACAAAAGGTGGGGATGCCATAGATCCCCTTGAGCAGAGAAAAAGCAAAATAAATATTTTATTAAAGAAAAAAGAGAAATTAAGAAAATAGTTTGGAGTATTTTCTTACTGTAGAGAAGCACTGTACATTACTAAGAGACCTGGGTATAAGATACTCACATGTGGAGCTGGGAAAATCGCATGTCCAAGCCCGTTTCAGTGGTTTCTTTCTTTCTTCATTGCAGGGAGTAGGCGGGAGGGAGGTGGGACTAAGGGCACTTTGGGGGTCTCCTTTTAGTCAAAAGCAAGGAAATGACAAAGAGATTAAATTCAATGTTTCCTTTAATAGTGTTAAACACTAAGATTTTAAAAAAGACAAAAAAGGAAAAACTTTGTAAAATACGCGAACAGAAGCAAAAGACACTACGCTGTCATTTTATCTTTCTTTTATTGAAAGACTAAAAACAAATGTTTTTTAGACAATCAAATGTTAGGTAAGTGCAAAAACTTGTTTTTTCTTACTGGTGTAGAAATTAATGCCTTTTTTTATTTTCCAGTTATTTTATAATAACAAAATAAGAACAACCCCCCAGCTGCCAGGCGGGTTTTGGTGTTTGAAATGCGGGGCAAAGCACTACATCACTGCAAATAGATACAGAGTAGTCTGCATGTCTGTAGGCTGTGTGATTGCGGAAAATATAAATGCTGCTAATATATTTCCTTTTTACAAAAAAGCCTATCTAAATAATAGATGATTGTTTTGATGTTAATCTTTGTAAATTATGTATTACCAATTTTAACATTGGATGTAATTGCATAAAAGCTTGCATCTCAATCCTTGAAAGTCTAGTATTAAATGGAAACAACTTTTCCTAACTTGAGTGGTGAGCTTGTTTCTCCCTCAGCTCCCCCTTCCTGTGCTCCAGAATCTCCCAGCATCTTCTCCATCCTGTTTCCAAAGAGATGTTTCTGAAACAATATCATCAGTATCCTGAGCCCCACATGAGCACAGCCCCCACTGCTGACCACCTGATAAAGTCATTTCTTCTATGCTAGGGTCTTGTTGGATTTAGTCTGACCATGAACAGCACACCAGACATCCAGCTATTTCTCAAACATGCCCTGCTATTCCGTACATCCATTCCTCACTCATTAGTAACCTCTGAAGCTGGCAATAACATAGAGCCACATTTCCATACTGAGGGCCAAACCCACAGTATTTGCACACTAAGCAAATACTGAGCCATACCTCTACCCAAAAGCCACTTTTGTGAGTGGATTTTTTTTTAGGTTATTTGTTGTTTTGAGACAAGGAAGGTCTGTCCTCAAAGTCAGTCCTTCTGCCTCAGTCTCCCAAGCACATGGATGACATGCATGTGCTACTACATCTGGCTCCAAAGCCACTTTTTTTTTTTTTTTTTTGGTTTTTTTTATTTTTGAGACAAAGTCTCCCTGTAGACCAGGCTTTCCTTGAACTCAGAGATACATGCCTTCCCCTGCCTTCCAAGTGCTAATTAAAGGCAGTTGGGAAGTGGGATTAAAGGCGTGCTAATGCCACCATGCCCGGCTAAAACCATGTTCTTTTTTAAAGTTTTTATTTTACGTATGAGTGTTTTGCCTGCATATATGTAAGTGCACCCATGTAATCATATCCTTGGAACTGGAGTTATGGATGGGTGTTAGCTTCCATGTGGGTACTGGAAATGGAGCCCAGTCTTCTACAAGAGCAGCCTGTGCTCTTAACCACTGAGCCATGTCTCCAACCTTAGGCCACATTTTCTTATGCTCTCTGTGTAGACCATTTCTACCATAAGCACCTTCTATGTATTCATTTATTAATCTTCACAATTTTTTGTAGGGTTTATAGATAAGAAACTGAAGCAACAGAGGTGTTAAGTAACTTATCCAAGGTAACAAAGCCATCTATTATTTCCATTGTGTAGAAGCAAAAACTGAAGCTTGGGAAGATTAACCTGCCAAAAATACCTCATCACTAGTGTTAGAGTGAGAATCCCAATCAGTTTCTCAAACAGAAAATTTTCAGAAATCGCCAAAGTGAGCTAGTGAAGGCTCCGTAGGCAAAGCACTTGCTTTGCAAGGTTAAGGACAGAATTTGGATTGCCAGCACCTAAGTAAATGCCTGGCAGGCATGGTAATCCCACCTATAATCCCATCACTTGGGAGACTGAGACAGAAAGATCTTTGGAGCAAGCTGGCTGGCCAGACTAGCTGAATCAAGACTGCCTCAGTATTATAAGGTATCAAGCCATCAAGGAAGACTCCTGGCATCAACCTCTGGTCTCCATATGCATGCTTGCACACATGCCACACATACACATACTATATATACACATGCATTAAAAAAAATAGCTTAATTAGATAAACCCACTCCTGCCTGTAATTAAAAGGATTTAATTTTGTCTCAGACATGGGTCATTTACACTGGAAACCCAGAGAGAATACAGTTGCTCAGAAGCATCAAGGCATTTGACTAAAAATTCAGTGTAGGGCTGGAGAGATGGCTCAGCGGTTAAGAACACTGGTTGTTCTTGCAGATGACCCGGGTTTGAATCCCAGCACCCACATGGCAGCTAACAACTGTCCATAACTCCAGTCCCGAGGGATCCAACAGACTCTCTGACCTCCGCGGGCATTGCACGACACGGGTGCACTTACCCACATGCAGGCAATACACGCATACACATAAAATAAAAATAATTTTAAAAAGTATCTTTATGAACTTTGGACTCAAGACCAATTAGTTAACATAAAGCCTTTTCATAAGGTTTAAATTTTGTTTATCTTTGGTATCTACTAGAGTTGTTCTATTAGAAAATTAAATAATTGGCCTACTTCAGGTTCTGTGAGGAAGTCACACCTGCACAAGGCTGAATGATTAGACTGTGACTGCAAATGTTGCAGCAAGCCAGATCTCTAATGCCTCAACATTCTCTGAATTCATGCCCATGAGAACAGGAGTCAGAAACGGGAACAGGTTGCATCATGGAAAGTGAAAGCTAGCCAGATGTGGTAACGCACACCTCTAATCACAGCATTCTGGAGGCAGAGGCACGTAGATCTGAGTTTGAAGCCACCCTGGTCTGTATATCTTATTTCCAGGCTAGCCAGGGCTACATAATGAGACTGTGTCTCAAAAAATGAAAACAAAAATAATAATTACCAATGTTTCTGAAACTTTGGACTCTAATCATGGGCCTCCAAGACCACTCTAGATTTGTCTTTGAGAATTATTGGTTCCAATGTCAAAATAATAGTAGAAGTCGGGGCTGGAGAAAGCACTACCTACATGCAAGCAATACACTCATACATAAAATAAAAATAAAAATAAAAAATAATAATAGTCTTTATATTCACCATTACATAACTTTAAACATAAAAGCTTACTGAATCAGGCATGGGGTGGGGATATGTGCATGTATATATGATGATGCCTCAGGCATGGTAGCCCATCTATAATTCTAGCACTAAGGAGGCCCTCAGGATACGCATACATTTTTTTGGTAGTAATTTACAACTAAAGGACCTTTATAAACTTCCCGGTCCTCCCCTGAGAGTAGCATACTCTGACAACAGTCAATATCAAGGAGTAGAGCAACTATGAAAATAGATTCATACATACAATCTCCACTTAAATATCAATCATTTTAGGGACTAAAGAGCCACTGACACTGATAGTACTGGGTGTGAAAACATATTAGTAATGTGTGTGAGTGGAAGGGACCAGTGATACATATTAGGTTGATAGAAAGTAGAGGAGAATATAAATATTTGAAGGGGTAACTGTGGGGTTGGAGAGATGGCTCAGTGGTTAGGAGCACTGGCTGCTCTTGCAGAGGACCCACGTTCAGTTGCCAGCACCCACATGCAGCTCACAACCATCCATAACTCCAGTTCCAGGGGATCCAATTCCAACCTCTTTTCTGGCTTCCATGGGCATTGCACAACACCGTGTACTTACATACATGCAGGCAAAACACTTTTTTAAAAGAACACTTTTTTTTAAACACTTAAAAAAACACTAAAAAAAAAAGGGGGGGGGCTACTGTAAGGGCAAAAAAAAAAGTGGGTGGAGGGATTAGGGAATTTTCGCTAAAGGTAGACTGAAAAGACAGGTATAAAGATAAGCTTAAGAAGATGGGTGTAAGACCCGTCTTGGTGGCACATGCTTAAATCTCAGCACTTGGGAGGCAGAGGCAGGTGGATCTCTGTGAGTTCGAGGCCAGCCTCATCTACATAGCAAGTTCCAGGCCAGCTGGGGCTACAGGAAAACCCTGTCTCCAAAAGAGAAAGGGGAAAAGAAAAAAAAAGCCGTTATGGTGGTGCACACCTTTAATCCTAGCACCCCAGAGACAGGCATGCGAATCTCTGTGAGTTCAAGGCCAGCCTGGTCTACATAGTGAGTCCCAGGTCAGCTGGGGCTACAGGGAGACCCTGTCTCAAAAAGACTAAGAAAGAAAATGAAAGATAAACTTAAGAACAGTCTTATCAGGAAGCTTAACCACAGGAAAACCAGCAAGTCTTACACCTTTAATACCAGCACTGGGGAGGCAGAGACAAGGGTATCTAAATTCAAGGCCAGTCTGCTCTGCATAGCAAGTTCCAAGCTAGGGCTACATAGCAAGACCCTGTCTGTCCTAAAAAAAAGAAAAGACTAAAGAGTAAAGGAGTGAGGTGGAGTGATCTAGAGCAAAAAACAGGACAGAACCAGCCTCTGAAACTGGCATTAGGTATTAAAGGAGAAATGGATGCAGAGGGGAGAGAGCTGGGTGAGGATATAGGATATAAAAACTAACCTGATGCCTGAATTCAGTTCCTCTGCAATAGAATATTTGAATCTAGCAAGGCCAGTTTCTACTTCCAGAATTTTGAATTGAGGATTGTTACCTCCTCGAGGCCAATCTCCTATCACTAACCTATGGCCTTCAACCAAATTCCCAAATAGGAAGGAAATCCAGATTTCTTTGCTGTTTTACTTCACCATATAGGTCTCGGCCTCTCCTTGGCTTTCCTGCTGCATGATTATAATTACAGCTTATTTATTATTTATTTATTATCTTTTCTGAGAGAGTCTCCCTGTAGAATAGGCTGCTCTGGATCTCACAGCCTACTTTCTGGCTGGAGTGCTAGGATTAAAGGCATGCGCCTTTCCTGTTCAATGACTGTTCCTGTTCTTTTATGTACCCTCTAGGCAACCCTTTATAAATGAGCCCCTGGGATATCTAGCTCTTATTATTTCGAAAGGTTGACAGGAAACTTTACCAACTCCTAGCCAAGAAATGGATGGCAAGATATTTTGCTTTTACATAAAACTGTACCACGGGGGCTGGAGAGATGGCTCTGCTATTAAGAGCACTTACTGCTCTTCCAGAGGACCCAGGTTCAATTCCCAGCACCCATACAGCAGCTGACATCTATCCTAACTCCAGTTCCAGGGGATCTGATGCCCTTTTCTGGTTTCCTAGGGCACCAGGCAGGCACATGATGAACTTACATACATGCAGGCAAAACATTCATAGGCATAAATTTTTTTAAATTTTAAGGAAAACAAAAAATTTGCTGGGCATGGTGGTGGGGTATACTTTTAGTCCCAGCACTCCAGAGGCAGAGGCAGGTGGATCTCTGTGAGTCAAGGCCAGCCAGGGTTACATAGTAAGAACCTAACTTTAAAACAAAACAAAACAACATCTGAGCAGAAGCAAGAGGATCAAGAGTCCAACATCAGAAGATCAAGGTCATCTTCAGCTATATACTGGCTGCTCTTGCAGAACACCCACAAGCATCCACAAGGTGGCTAACATCCATCCATAACTCCAATTCCAAATGACACAACACCCTCTTCTGACCTCCGTGGGCATTGCACCACATGGCTGCACCTACCTACATGCAAGCTATATACTCATACACATAAAATAAAAACATTTTTTAAAGCCGGGCGTGGTGGCGCACACCTATAGTCTCAGTACTTGGGAGGCAGAGGCAGGTGGATCTCTGAGTTCAAGGCCAGCCTGGTCTACATAGTGAGTTCCAGGACAGCTGGGGCTACAGGGAGACCCTGTCTCAAAA